CCCCCCAAACAGTTTCTTCCTGTGATCATTGTTGCACGGGACAACGAACATCATGGCCTCGCCCCCTCTAAGCAATGCTGCAAAAGTACACAAACATAGATCCCAGAATCCAAAATGCTTAAAAGCGGTCAGTTTTTCCAACAATGTGTTTTGACGGTCTTTCCGAGAAAGTTCTTTTCAATCATTCGAAGGTTACACCTTTTGTGTGAAACATGTCGTTGGTGTGCGATAAATTAGACCAGCACTTGCACCTGCATCCCTGGTCCCTTCAACGGCACCTGCACCGACAGACCTGGAACGACAGCACCTACACTGACACCCTGTCTTCAAAGCGTGCACAGCCCGAAAGGCTGAGATATCTCAAGCACTTTTCTGCAAACGTATGACACGGACAACGGGAACGATATCCAAAAAGTTCTAACCGAATTCCAGAATTCTGCATAAGATTTTAACAGGGTGCCCGTGAGCACTGCCCAAAGCTTCGCAAGATCAGCTAGATAGATATCTAGATAGTGGCCTTGTCATGTGGAGCTCGGCCTTCAGCAAAAACCTGAGTAGCATGCTGCATAAGCTGCGCATAGGGTCACATTTCCGCATGCCCTGCATATTGCCTCCCTGTCAAGAAAGGAATCATACAGACATGAGAGCTTTCAAAGGCATTGAAACTGTCCCTTTTGCACATGACATAGAGATACATAGAGCTGGGGGTGACATGCGGGACTGTTGGACTGTCAAATTTATAAACGTCGCATGCATATTCTGAAGATGATAATGCATTTGTAGACAAGGAGCCGTTGCGAAGATGGTTGCTATGACTTCTCAATGCATATAGATAAGACGTGTGTCAGGTCATTTTGGTCATTAGTCCCTTCCGCGTTAGCACAGACTGTGGAGCAAAGGGCAAGCAGGAGGTGGTTTTTGCACCAATCCAAGCCGTGTTCAAATTGAACGTTGCTGAGAGGCACAAATAGAAAGAAGCAATCCTGTTTTCGCTTGCCTTTTTTGAGGCTCGTTGAGGGTCTGAAATGGTTGCCCTCTTGTTTTGGCGCCCCCATGGCTGGTTCCTTTTGCGTTCCTATTTATCTGCCTGCCAACTGTTAGTTCAACTGTTCACATGCTATTCCGAAATTTAGCTGCTCTACATGGGTTTGTTGGCTTTGTACTTCGGTGGCTCGACCCTCCAATTTTTTATTGTGTGCATACTACCCACACGAGAGTTGTCATGTGTGAGAGTTTCTTCGTTCCAACCGGGCTAGACCAGTGATTTTCTGCTTGGTGCAAGATTACCTGGAGCTTCAAACCTTACAGAGGTCAGTGGTCAGTTGCAGTTTCGGCTTACTAGGGTGAGAAGTAGGGGACAGAGGGCATATGCAGCATGACATGTTGAAGTTTCTTTTGCTCACGGCGGCGGCCATCGTGTTTGCAGATGACGCCATTTGCAGTTTGCAGAAGTTACGGTACTTTGGTGCCACATTGGACTCGGACGATAGCGCGTCAAGACTGTTGCGTCAAGAGGTCTCGGAACCCGGGGATTTCTGGTCCATGGAATCACCGAGAGGGTGCAAAAGACCTGCAAAGACACAGCTTCAGGTTTTGCAAGTGTTTGAGAGTCAAGAATTGACGCCAAAGCCAACATGCTTGCAGGGAGAAGCCTTGATTGGCGACTTTGTACAGGGTGTCTACAAGTTTTCTTGTTGCAAAGCTGGCGAGCAATGTGGTGGCTGTCGCGCGGTAAAGAATGGTGTTTGTGAGCAGTGTGCAGCTGGATATGTCATGCAGACCATGCCTATCGTGAACACATCCAAGTGCTTCCTATGCGATGACATTCCCAATTGGCACGACATGCAAGGTCGAACCTGTGCAGATCTGCAAAGACTTGGTATTTGTTCAGGGTCATGGCCTCAAAGAACTCAAGATGTGGCCTTCCAAGGGCTTAGGCCAAGTGAAGCTTGTTGTGCATGTGGAGGCGGAAGTATCTACCCGACTCCCGTGTACATGCCTTTGCAAACCAAGTCTTTGTACTTTGGACAAAACATCAATGAAACACCAGACCCAATGACAGCTCAAATGGTGAAGGTTGCCCCAGGATGCACATTTGCATCATCCGGCCTGGAGCTTCTGAGTGATGGTAGTGTCAAAGGGGTGGTCACTGTGAAGAATCAGACGGTGATCAAATGCTCCACCGTGTCAGTGCAAGATCCAGTACGAGGGATCATGACAAGTATCAACTTCTCCATGCCAGTATCATCGTTTTCTTATGGAGAACAAGTGGTGCACTTCAAGTTCTGGGGATTGGATCTCAATCCTGCGCAGCGCATTGTCGCTCCTCAATCTGCTCATCCCACTGACCTCATGAACTTTAAGCTTCAGTGTGATCCAGAGTGTCCATGGCTCTCAATCACTTCCTCAGGCCAACTCCACTGGAATCCTGTTGCCCCACCGACACCACCTCAGCCATCTTCAGCCTTGCCGCAGGACCTTAAGTCACAGACGACTGCATTGCCAAAGATGCCTTCCTGCAGTTGCCAAGTGCTGGCGACGACCAGTTTCCGGCCTGCGTTGAACTTCTCTAGATGGCCGAAAAGGAGACAGAGAGCTCTGGCAACGTTGCAGACACCAGTAGCAACACAGTTTCTCGTAGCACAGGCTCGACTCTGGAAAGGAGGAGTATGGGAGATGCCAAAGATCAAGGCTCGGATATCCGAAGCGATCACTGAAGTGCCCTTGCGAGAAGACTTGGGACCACAACTTAATTGACACAGAGCGAATGGAAGACAAGAAACGAAAATAAGAGGGAGCTTTGAGCTTCTTTAGTGAGGCCTCTTACCTCTTTCTTATGTTCCTGGAGGCCATCGCTAGTAGGTTGGAGGCCATCCCTAGTGGGTTGGAGGCAGTACCAATCCTCCCTACCCAAGCAAAGGATGCTTCAGGTGCCACGCTTGAGCCTATTTCTTCGCTTTTCACTGCCTTCTCCATTTTTCCCGAGCTGAGGACCCGGTTTGCGCTGGTACAAAGTCACCGGGCATTCTCTACAGGTTCCTGTGGTGGAGAACATCTCCACGGGAGAGAAGTTCATTGTGTCAGAGTCGATCCCACCAGGCATTTTGGACGTGAACTGCCAAGACGGCGAAGGAAGCACTTTGACATGGTCTCGCATCAGCGGGGAGGTGAACCACGTCATGCAAGCTGTATCAAGTTGTTAAATTGCTCCTAATATTTAATAGCAACGGCCTCCACCCTACTAGCAATGGTCTCCACCCTACTAGCGATGGCCTCCAACCTACTAGCGAGGGCCTCAACCTACTAGAGATGGCCTCCAACCTACTAGCGGTGGCCTCCAACTCCAACCTAATAATACTCGTAGCTGTATTCTAGTCTATCTACCAGTTGCAAGGAACAGGTATGCAGGAGTTTCTTCATGTCACGGCTGAGGTGATGCTGGCAGGCGAAACGGCCTTCAAGCTTGATCCCTTCACCGGCGTGATCTCTGGCACGCCTCACCTCACACTGTCGGCGACCCAGGGCCGGGCCGAGGTAAACATCACCTGCCAGGTGGCACTTGGAGGCGATTTGGGGACACGTGCAGAACAGCTTATCGTGTTAACGCAGGTGCACTGGCACCCTCCCGAAAGCTTGGCAGCAAAGCTTGGCTTCAAATACAATGACCATGACAATTGTTGTTTCAGGACCTTGCCAAGCAAGACCAGTGCAATTTCGATCTGTTTGAACTTAGACTCAATTACTTGACCTGGGTGACTCGGTGATGGTGTGACTGATGCCATTGCCTTTGGAACAGCTTTAGGCATGTTGCATCCAAGTTCCACACTTTGACAGGCAGGCTCTACGACCAGGCTCTCCCAGTGGCTGTCCTGAATGTTCATATATTGGATGATGTTTGCCGGGGCCCCAAGTGCGAATCGAAACCTTTGGTTTGTTACCTGGGTGGTCCTCTGTGCTGGGAGCTGTGCCTTGGTGTATCGGTGCACGTTGCACTACCTAAGGGGCAGCGAAAAGAGAAGGAAAGCAAGAATTCGCAGAGAATGCGACAGACAGATAAAGCGAGAGAGAGGGAGAGAGAGAAAGCTAGAAAGAAGGAAGGAAGGAAAGAAAAATAAATAAAGAAAGAAAGAGAGGAATGGAGAAAGGGAGAAAGAAAGAAAGACGAATCAAAAGTACATCGGCCTATCAGAAGAGAAGGAACGGGGTTATTTCAAAAGCACTGTCATGAGAGCAAGACAGAATGAACGAAGAGAGAGGGAGATGGAGGGAGGGAGGGAGGGAGGGAGGGAGGGAGAGGGAGGGAGGGAGGGAGGGAGGGAGGGAGGACGAGAGCGAGAGCGAGAGCGAGAGAGAGAGAGAGAGATAGTAACTATTAATACGCAAGCTAGAGAGGGAAAAGGCAAAACATTTTGACAAATAGCAAATAAGCAAAACTCAAGTAGAAACAGGTCCGTGTGTGTGTGTGTGTGTGTGTCAAACCCCGTTTCCAGGGGCACTACTCTCTACTATTTCTCCTTCCTTTCATTGACAAACAAGAACGAACAAGTAGCAAAAACATGCAAATGCAAGAAAACCGTAAAAGCAAAAGCGAACCTGACAAAAAAAGACACACAATGAAAAACATCACTAAAAGCACCCATCTCCTATTAAAGTATCGTCCCCTTTAAGTATGATCCGATGAACCCTCTCAAGCGCAACTGCGCCCAGGATCACCTCAGACTTAAGAAAGCGGCCTGATAAGATAGGTGTCATGCGCTGCCAAATGGAGACACAGCAAAGTAAACACAAAAATTCACTGAAAGCTTTTCAATAAGCATCGTACTGGTGTTTGCCTTGTTCCCGAATGCGTAGCGAAGGGTTATCGTTTAACTGTGGGGGTCTGGTCTGCGGGTAGAGCCTTGTTCGCGACTCGTTGTCTGAGCGACCGCAACCGTTGTCAACCGTTCGCAACCGACCGCAGCCGTCCGCGGTAGGGCGCTATGGCGCATACAATTACGTACACATATTAGACAGAGAGAGGCTTCAATATTCAAGGGAAAAGACATGGAAGTACAGCACTGCTTGCTGTGGTGCTTACAAGACAGGTTGAAGACAAAATTTGGGTGAGAGCGACGAGCCATTCCAAGGTAGGAGGCCTTTTGTGAGCCACCCGATTGTAAAATTTAGAGGAGGAAGGGGTCATGCCAAGGTAGCAGACCTTTTGTGAGCTACCTGAGCACAAAATTTAGAGAGCAGGCAGGAGCCATTCCAACATAGCCCTTTTTGTGAGCCATCCGAGAAAATAGAGAACAGAGGGAAGAAGGAGCCATCCCAACGTAGCGACTCTTTTGTGAGCCAGACGTAGAATTTAGGAAAGGACCGTGCCAGTCCAACGTAGCGGGCCTTTTGTGAGCCACCGAGGGTAAAATTTACTGTAGAGGGGGGCACGGGCCATTGGAATGTAGCAACATGCGTGCGCGCGAGTCGCAGAGCGGGCAAGTGATTCACGCAACGCGCAAGTGAGCCAACTTTGGCGCGTGCAACTGAGGCTTTGGACATGGCCAACTATATAAGTAGGCGGGGGCGTGCTGCTGACATCGCTTGCGCAAGTGAGGTGAGTTTTTTGCGCGCGCAAGCCCCCAACAAACACCACCAAAGTTGAGAGAAACAACAGAGCCATGACCGCCAAGACGCAAGCAGCCGCACACAGCGCCTTCCCCAAACATTCCCAACCCCCCTCCAGGGACACGAAAACAGCGTTGTTTAATGTCAACCATGCTCTACTGCGCCCGCCACCAGTGCGAAATCTGCACTACTTCTTCCAATGCACTTTGCCCACTCACTCCGCCTTGCTCCCGCAGTGCATTCCTGTTTGAAGACACTAAGTTGCCGTAAATAGCAGCGACAATATTATCGGCCCAAAGGATATTTACACAGAATCACGAAGAAACACATTACCGGACAAAAAACACACCCCTTTAATTGGAACCCTATACAGGCTTCAATCGGGCCTTTGAGAAGCAGGAGTTTTGACCATGTACACGAATGGTTGAAACGTGTAAACATATAATGTAATGCGCATCTAAAGAATAGACATGGGTCACTCGTTCAATGTTCTCTTGGTTCAAAGGTTGGGTACCCAGCAACATCTCTGGGACATTCCGTTGGAATGAGACACGGAATGTCAAAGAAGCGCAGTGCTTACAAGAATGCCGTCTCGCCGATGATTGCGCAGCAGTACTGTATGAAGCTGGTATCTGCAAGATTTTGGTGAGCGACGGTGCCGCGGAAAAAGTCGAGTCTCAGGTGCTGGTCCGTTTAAACAATTGTTCAGAGATGGAGACCAGCCTCAACTTGACGATCTCAGCAGCAGAATATCTTCAAGGGGAATTTTCGGTTTTGAATGTCTTCCAGGATGAGACAAACCTGGCCTTTCAGTCCAATCTGTTGGTCTCTTACTCTCGCCCTGGAACAAATCCACAGCGGCAACTTGTGTTGGCCCGAAGAGAAGTTGTGGAGCGGGCCCCCGTATCTTGTGCAAAGTCTCTCAAAGATGTTCAACAAGTCGTTTTTTTGCAATGACAATAACTGTTAATCAATTTAACCTTCGAAATGTTCCTGTTGCATCAAATCCTGGGTCAACCTCAGGCTAAAGCGTTTGTTGCTGATTCGAAATAGCTCCATTTTGGCACGCAACATGACGAACCTAGCCTACAACAACAACCCACATCAGATTGTGATATTGCTGTCGGGGAAGGTTTCGTTCTCCACACAATTTTTCTTGACTAAAGCAATGCAACTAGGTCGACATGGATGCTTCTTCACATCAATTCCTCAGACTATGAGGATGCAGAGTCCAAGACTGCCCCCGAGTTCTTCGGAAATCCCATGGCTTGTATCACCTCGGAGGTAGTTGGGAATGCTTTCAAGAATGGCCAAGATTCCTTTGACTTACAAATACTCCCTGCAGAGCTTCATTCCCAGCTTCAGCAGCTTCAGGCTATGCCTGCTCCGCCTGCTGTGCTTCATGGAACTCTAGCTCTGGCCGTGCCAAGTTGCCCGAAGCCTACGGAGAACTTTGTCTTTGGTACTGTGAATGAACCTGGCATCTATTCCTTGCACGCCTGTGACTGCTTCGGGGAAGCTTATGCAGCTGTCCCGCCAGTGGATCCAGCGTCCAATGCAGCAGTTCCACGCAACGCAAACAACTACTTTAACAATGGCTCTGTTCCTAGTCTTGTTCAGTGACTTTCTATAATCTTCCGCGAAGCGGTGTTTGATATGTTTCTCGCCTTCCAGGCTTTGTCGGTTTGTCCATGAATCAACGGTTTATTTGCCAGCTTTTTGCCCAACCTGATGGCCCATGCCTTCCCTAGGTTCCCGACCAGAAACTGTTCTCAGGGCCTTACACCTGTGAAGAGAGCGTCAGAGCCTCAGAGCAACGTGGAGGGCAGAAACTTTGGATGAAGCAGGTAAGCAGTCAGTACAGGGAACTTGCAATTAACCAACGCAGAATGCTGCATTGGATTCCGTAGAGGCAACCATCGAGGGTACTTGTGCTAGAGGGGGCCCGTATCACATTTCACGTCAGGGATGGCCAGGGTAAAACGGCTGCCCTGGAGTCGTGCGTGTTCGTCGTTGCAGCGGAGTTGGGAATCAAGAAAAACTGCGCAAGATCCTCAGGCTTCGGTGGCGCACTTTCTGCACATGGATGTGGAAGGATGCCAGAAGGCCTGTGCCTCTGAACCTGAGTGCCAATTCTACTTGTTTGGCAAGACCTCAGAGACATGTACTTTGTTCCAAAGTTGCAACTACGTTCAAGACGTCGGCTTGCAGATTGTGAACGAGTTGTACGGAATACCCCCTGAGAATGCTTCATATTGCCGAATTGCAAGTCCGCAAAAGTGTTGGCAGGAGGCCAAGCGCCGAAGCATGCTAAGCTTCACCCCTTCAAACATACCTAAGTGCCTCTTTCAAGAACAGTATGATGCCTGCGATGCGCTCCAGCTTCTTCTTGGAAAACAAGATGGCCCTTGCACGCGTTGCCAATACATTGACATCTCAAGCCCATTTGCCGCAAGTGGCCTCAAGAAGATCCCATCCCCTCAACTTTTCTCGCCGGCTTCGCAGATCTCAGTCACTTGCAATGAGACCTCTCGGATGTTTGCAAGGCTACAGGACGGTTTGCAATGGGACGGCCCACGGCAAACTGCTGCGACCTTTACATGTGTGAGTGGTGAGTGGGTTGGTGAACTTGGTCCTTGGCGATATTTGTCCAACTTCACGTGGCAACCTCAGAAAGATTCAAGCGCTTGCCGAAGCACTGAAGCTTCTTTCTGGTATCCTTTTGCGCAGCCACCGAAAGCATTAACATCTCCTGAAGGCTTAATTGCCAGAGTGTGGTGCAAACCGGATGCCTTTGAGCATTTTTTGAGTGGACAGATGATGTTTTCAGCGTCAAACCGTGCCAGAGTTGCTCAGTAACTACACGGTATTGTTCCCCAAACAGTGTGGACACACTAGGGGTTCTTACAGTAATAGAAAAGCAGCTGCGCTTAGATCGCTGTTCCGCGCGGGCGTGCGCGGCTAATTCGCTGCTATTTACAGTACATTCATGCCTCTCGAAACCCTCGAAGCGCATTCCGACTGCGCAGGCTCACAAAGTCTGGGCGCCCCGGGCGGGCGCTTCTAACGACTGCGCTCTCGTTGTGGCGCCGCGCGCACTTTCGTACATGATGATCACTTGGGAAACCTCGTGCTTTGGTGCTCCAAAGTCGACTTTTCGTGACAGGTGCAAGGGATCGGAGCTCTTTTGCTTCGAAATGCAGTTTTCGTGGCAGGCGCAGCAGCTTGGACATGGTGGCGATCGTCGAGGAGCTCAGATTTCGTGACAGGTGCAGTGAATCGTGACTTTTGGACTTTGGACATGTGGCTCGTTTGCAGATTTCGTGGCAAGTACAGCGCTTGGTGAACCTCGATGCGCAGATTTCGTGGCAGGCGCAGCACTTGGTGAACCTTGAAGTGCAGATTTCGTGGCAGGCACAGCACTTGGTGAACCCCTTGAAGTGCAGATTTCGTGGCAGGCACAGCACTTGGTGAACCTCGAAGGGCAGATTTCGTGGCAGGCATGCAGATTTCGTGGCAGGCACAGCACTTTGTGCGACGCTCACTCTCTCCCTCACTCACTCACTCACTCTCACTCTCACTCTCACTCTCACTCTCACTCTCACTCTCACTCTCACTCTCACTCACTCTCTCTCACTCACTCTCACTCACTCTCACTCACTCTCACTCACTCTCACTCACTCACACTCACTCACACTCACTCACACTCACTCACACTCACTCACACTCACTCACACTCACTCACACTCACTCACACTCACTCACACTCACTCACACTCACTCACACTCACTCACACTCACTCACTCACTCACTCACTCACTCACTCACTCACTCACTCACTCACTCACACACGCTCACACTCACACTCACATTCACACTCACATTCACACTCACACTCACTCACACTCACATCACCTTCATCACCACCGTCACCTCTCTGGACCCCACCGCGTCTAGATCTCTAGACTTTCTGCTTATAGACCTCACGCACACTGTTTGGGGTCTCTTGCCGGGATAATTTTCAATCGGCCGTGGGCAATTTTGACCGTCAAATAACAATTTGAAGAGAGAGGACGGCTGGCAATTGTGTCGCGCGATAAGTTCCAGCCCTTTCTGATTTTTGCTAATTGATCAGTTCTGTCCTGGAAAGTTTGTTGGCCAAACAACGCACACTTTTCATGGCCCAGCCAGTTCCATCGCCGTGACTATATAATGCCTTACATTTGTTTAATTGCTTGTGCAAGAAACGCATTCTTGGATCACGCAAGTGATGCCAAAAAAGTTGCGACACGGGCAACTCATAGCCTTCCTAAATGTTCAGGCCTTTTCTAAAAACTTGACTCAGGGCTCTAGCGCAAAAAGGCTGACCAGGGTTTATGACCTCAGCCAAAATTACTCTTCCACACCTTGGGTGGGAGGCGAGGCGAACTTTGGTCTTTGAGGTCTATATACAGCTCTCCCCGCTTCGACCTTACACAGGCTGTTCAGGGTGTTTGTGTGCGCGCGTGTGCGCAGCCTTGATTCGCGGGTAGCTGCGTGGCTTGGTCTTTTTCCTTTTACCGTTTGCCTTTAAAAGCGTGGAAAGGACTTCTGCAGTTGATCACTCGGCAGGGGAGACCAGGCTTGGCAGCAAGATGGGATAGTGGAGTCGGCCACTCCACCTGAAACCCGTTCGCTTAGGTAGTTTTTCGCCAGGCTTCTGTGTGGCGTGTGGCATTCATACCGAACGAGCCACGTCTTGAGTGTGTGTGTGTGTCTGGCCTCGCGCCAGCCCGGAGTGAACCCGAAGAGTGCCCACGCAGCCTCAGCGCAAAGATTGATTAAGGCTCCGACTTGGGACGCATGGAGCAGGTCGCAGACCGGGCCAGAACGTGCTCACGGCGAGCGGAGGCGCTAGTCCTTTTGACGCGGCGCAAAGTTCGCAGCGACCGAAGGTTCTTTTGAGGCTCAGTGGAGCCTGTCCGGGCCTTTAAAATGACCTGCAAAGTATCTTCTATAAGTCTCACTGTGATCTTGCTTGATCTTATGTAACTCTCGCCGGGGTCTTGCTCCAGAAAACACACGCACAGAGAATCAACTACTTGCTAACATAGGGTACATCTTATCTGTTTTGCGCGTGCGGCGCAGCTTTTTCTTTTAGCCGGGGGCATGGCCTGACATGGGTCGCGAAACGTGACCAAGGCAAATTCGGGTGGGCTGGATGAGCCCTTTTGCGGTGATCACGCGTGCGTCGAGTACTCAAAGCTGAGGTGAAACGCGCATTCGCGTTGTAGGTGAACCCTTTGCGGAGATCGTCCGCGTTGAGCGCTAGAAACGCGAGCAAATTTTGGGTGAGCGCGGCGAGCCCTCTGTGGGGATCGCGCATGTCAGATGCTCAAACGTGAGGTGAAGCGCGCGCGTCGAGGGCTTAAGCGTGATGCGCAACGCGAATTGTTACGAAAGTGTGCCACTGCCGTCGAAAGTCAAGGTGGAAGTTGCCAAGTGTGGAAGTTGAATTTTTGTAGCGCAAAGTACATGTGGCATATGGGAAGCGGCTTCCGGGAGCACATCAGAACTGGCAACTTTGTAGTGCAAGTTGTCGCGTGGGCAGCGACTTCTGGAGCTGGCCTCAGAACTAGCAACTTTGTAGTTGAAATGTAGCGCTAGAAGCAACTGGAGCTGTGCCTCCAGAAGTGGTAACTGTGTAACTGTCGCGGAAAGCACAGGTGGAGGTAGCCAGAGCGTGTAACTGTCGTCGAAGACGAAGGTCGAGGTGTTCAAAGTGTGTAGGTGTCGTTGGCCGTAAAATATGAAGGAACTGTCGTCAAGAACGGAGGTGGAGGTGGCCAAAAAGTGTGTAATTGTCGCTGACAAAGAAGGTGGAGGTTGCCACATGCACGGGCCGTCGAGAACGTATGCGCGTGCCACTTTGCCTTGCTCAGCTGGCTCATTCATGGCTGGGCTCACCTGCATTGAGCATATCTTCCCCATTTTGGAGAACCCCGATTTAAGAAAAATTGCGCCTATTTTTAGATTGGGGCGGCCGCATGTTTTTTAAACGGTCGAATGAATTGATGTTGGGGCAGGCAGGCTCTTTACCCAAGTAGATTTTGTATTGGTTGTTTGCGCGCGCTCTCGCGCTCTCTCTCTCTCTCTCTCTCTCTCTCTGTGGCGCGCCCCTCAACGCTTCCGGTTGTTTACAGCGAAGCGTGGTTGTTTTTTGTGGCCCTCATGTTAACTGATGGATCTGACAAGGAGTGGAACACTTGGCTTTCATACGCAGGACAAGACTCAAAAGAGACATGTCGTTAAAGGTCTTTCGCGGGAGAGCTGCTGGAACATGACTGAGGTGCGAGCGATGCATTGAGGTTGGGAGCAGCAGCCTTCAGCGCTTGTCTTTGGTCTCAATGCCGGAGATTTACTTCTTGGAGCACCGGCGCCATGGCAGCGATCACGGTGACAAGAAGCGATAGTTTCCATGGAGCTGCCCACCTTTAGGTACCTTTTTCTACTGTGTGACCTAGCGGGTGGGCTTGATACTGGTCACCTCATCGCAAAAACCTTCGTATTGCAGCAGTCCGCAGGCTTGTTTGAACTTTTATATACTTCGTAGGAAACCGCAATTAAGTCATCAAACAACGCAAAAGCATCAGAGCGGCCTTGTCCCGGTTTGACCTTGGAAGGCAAGTGCATGTGAACTACCCCTTTGCAATCAATGGCTGCGCCAGAGCTGGGATTTTGACTGCCTCGCCCCTTCAATCATTCTCAAACATGTTCTTGGATGTGGCCAAGGACTGCGTGGCTGCAGGAAAAAGCCTCGGCCAAGGTTAACTTTTGAAACGAAGACAAAAATTTTTCAAACAGTGTGGCGCACACCGTGTAAGCGTAAAGGCTGAGTTCTAGATCAAGGTAGTGCACTGTCGCGGGCAATTAACGCACAGGCGCAGTTGCGTGTCGTTTTTGTCGACAGTCTTGCAGAGCACTTGGCTGCCCTCCTACTACTACTGCTACTACCACCACCTTTACTACTACTACTACTACTACTACTACTACTTCCACTACTACTACGACTACTACTACCACTACTGCTACTACCACTACTACCACTACTACCACTACCACTACTACCACCACCACCACTACTACTACTACTGCTGCTGCTGCTGCTGCTGCTTCTACTTCTACTTCTAGTACCACTACTACTACTACTACTACTACTGCTGCTGCTGCTGCTGCTGCTGCTTCTACTTCTAGTACCACTACTACTACTACCACTACCACTACTACTACTACCACCACTTCCACTACCACTACCACTACCCCACTACCATCTCCACTACTACTGCTACTGCTACCGCTACTGCCACTGCTTCTATTACTACTACAACCACTAGTACTGCTACTGCTACTGCTACCACCACTACCTCTACTACTACCACTACCACTAAACCACTAAAACTACCACTACCGCCACTACCACCACCACCACCACCACTACTGCCACTACTACTATAGACCACCACCACTACGACGAAGACGACGACGACTACTACTACTATACTACTACGAGTACGAGTACGACTACGAGAACGACTACGACCACGACTACGCCTACGACTGCGACTACGACTACGACCACGACTACGACTACGACCGACTACCACCACTACCACCACCACCACCACTACTACTACTACCTGTACTACCACCACCACCACCACCACCACTGCTACTACTCCTACTACAACTACTACAAATACAGCAACAACAACAACAACGACAACAACGACAACGACAACAACAACAACCACCACCACTACCACTACCACTACCACTACCACTACTACTACTACTACTACTACTACTAGTACCACTACTACTACTACTACTACGACTACTACCTCTACTACCTCTA